TAATGTTTTGTGTATTTGTTGGAGTTTCACTTACCATATACATTCAGTGTAGTGCGTCCAGTGAGTGCTGCACCTCCCACTGGAACCACAGTCACACTGTACTCTCCAGTGTCACTAAGAGCCACGTTCCTGAGCTCCAGAGATCCAGTAGAGATGAACAGAGTGATCCTGCCTTCATACTCTGGAGCAGTGAAGTTACCAGCAGAACTTGAAGTGATGATATTGGTAGAGCCAAACGACCATCCTGTTGTTTGTGTTGGAGCCAGTGAAGTGGTGAACATGACTGTGCCTCCCACAGCTGCATTCACAGAGTCAGACAACACACCAACTCCACAGGCCAAACCTGGAGATTACACACACATATGAAATAACTCACTAATAATTCAATCAAACTGAATATTTAAATATAGTTTTAAACAGTTCTTACCACAAATAGCACAAAGAATAAAAACTTGGAGATTCATATCTTTTGTAGTTTCAGCTTCACCAGTTTCATCAGGACACAGTGATAATATGAAGTATTTAGTAGGAAGTGTTGTGTTTGTCATTCATCTGTATCATATACTTTAATTATTACACATTAGTAGATTCAATATCAACATTCTGCTCTTTGTACCTTCGAGCTGTACTTTATTCACAGAGCTTCACTAAGTCTGACATGTGTAATCAGCCACTACACTGTTTAATAAAAGATTTATTTATTTATATTTTTTTTACATTTTTAAAATAAGTTTATAAATATTTACTTAGTTTTAGTTAGTTTTACATTCACTGTTAATGGACTGGAAGTGACAGTGACAGAGATGGGTCAGTGCTAAACAACATCCCAAACACCAGTATAAAGAAATACTCAATGAATGAATATGAACAGCAAAACTACTTCACTGCACTGATGTCATAGTTTTAAACAGTTTTTGCTCTGTTGTTCAAGGTTTATTTAACCCAACTGCAGAGACATTGTTGTATTTTACAGTATGTAGTGTTGTGGAACAGACTGCAAACATTAAAAAAGAACTGAAAAGTTGCTTTGAATCAAGGAGTCTGATTTATTGAAGCAATTGTGCATAAAATCACAGAACTGACAGAGACTCGTCTGTCCCTAAACCGTCACATAACAATGTAGACAGAGTCTTTACACCCCTCAGGGTACTTTGTTTAACAATAGATATCTGATGTACCATTTATGAACAGCCTAAACCCAGTAAAAGATCAATGATGTGAAGATTTCCAGAACAGTACACACATTCACAACTGTTAGAGTTAAACACAGAGTCTAAAACTCTTAAACAATCATTTATGTGATGCAGAAATTTAAGTAAAAATGAAATTAAAGTTACAAGTTTCGATTGTATGGATTGAAATCATTCTCATACACAGTTTCTTCATCATTGTTAGAGTTGTGTGTATTTGAAGTATTCTCGTAAACATGCTGCTCATTCTGACCTGGATGTGGAGGTTTAATCTCACTTAAACTTTATTTTGATAATATTTGATAAAACACAATAATACTTACTGTTATTCCTGAACTTTCTGCCGTTTCTGGAAAAAAATAAATGCAAATCAAACATAACAGAGTCAGTGTACAGGAGACCTACATCCATATTCTAAATAAGACACTGAAGATATGGTGCTTCTGACTTACTGGTGTTTATACATCTGAAACCCTCCGACTGCAGCTCCAACAACGACCACTAATAAAGCAACAGTTATCCCAGCGATGGCTCCAGCTGAGAGGTCCTCTGGAGGAACTGCTGAATCTAAAGAAACACAGTGAGATCCAGTTAACTAGTGACCACAGCACCACTTAGTGTCCTCTCAGTGTCACTGCAGACTGTGCACATTGTGACTGGTGAATGTTGAATTATTGTGAGCAGCACAGCCATGTGAAGAGTCAAACAGGAAAACTCCACAGATCCAGTGATGATTTGGGTTCATATGATTTAAAGAAAACATATTCTGTAGAATTTACTTTTACTTTATTTTGTCCATGTTCTATCGGTGTTTCCTCAGTGTTCATTTGCTCATAGTTGTGTTTTGATTGATCCTGTATTTGTGTGTGTGTGTGTGTGTGTGTGTGTGTGTGTGTGTAATCCTGTGTTGTCCTGCATCTGAGGCTTATGTGCTCAGAACATTTCAGTTTGTTCAGTGGTCTGCAGAAAAGTCACGTTGCCACTTTTAAACAGGAAAGAATCAAATCTGTTACTTGCTGTGGTCAAAAGTCATTTTAGATCAATATTGTGATTTACAAAGTACAACATGTAAATGTTTCTGTGTTATAGTGAAATATATGATAAAACATATATTTTCTCTAAAATTTTAGCCTGATTGACCACCAAGAAAGTCTGAACTACAGGAAAATAAACATAAATCCACTTTTTACCCGTTACATTCACTGTAACTGTATGTGAAGCCTCAGATGTTTCATTTGTGATTTGATTTGAAGCTCGACAGATGTACTCTCCACTGTCTGAAGATCCAGTCATGGTTTTAGTATATTCACATGAGAGAGTGAGAACTGTCCCATCCTTTATCCAGGTGTATTTAGCAGTTGGTACAGAGTCACTCAGGCAGGTTAATATGAGTGTTTTATTCATCTGAATCTCTTTTGGACCTGAGATTTGAACATTTTCGGGTCCATCTGTAAAATAATGTTCTGTTAAAGGAAATGTTTTCCAGTAAATCAGGCATGTCCAAACTATGGCCCGGGGACCAAATGCGGCCCTCAGACTATTTTTCTTGGCCCTCAGGCTTCCAGGTGAATTGGCCCAAATTACCTTGCGTCAATTAAAAAAATATTTTTTTACTGCAAGTTTTTTTGAAAATCTACCTTGATATGATAATATTTAATATTTAGGATCTTTTATTTTATATTTTAAGGATCTTAGCATGATTAAAGACTGATGGCTCATTCTAACGTGTTAAACATGCACACATTTCAATTATTTCCTGTACTGAGCACCAGTCTACTGCCCTCGATCGGCCCTCTGCTTCGTCTGTGTTTAGATATGTGGCCCTTGATGAAAAAAGTTTGGACACCCCTGCAGTAAATGAATGAAACATAATGAACCCAGACACTTACAGAAAACCTCCAGAGCATAAAGAGCTGTCTGAGAGCTGATGGGGTTGATGATTTCACAGAGGTACCTTCCACTGTCTGTTCTGAGCCAGTGAAGTGGTGAATGTGACTGTGTCTCCCTCAGCTGCATCCACAAAGTCAGGCAACACACCAGCTCCACAAGCCAAACCTGCAGAGAGAGAGAACTGGTAATGAATAAATCCATAACAGATGTAGTGTAATTTAGAAAAGCTTAATTTAGTAGCATAAGTAGTTTAACAGTTCTTACCAAATGTCGTACAAAGAATAATCACTTTGAAATACATAACTTGTGTAGATTGTGCCTTCACCTGTACACAGCAGTATAATGTGGCATCAGGAAGGACCGTTGTGTTTTAACATTTGCTAACACTTCCTTGATTAATCATTTCCACTGCTACATTGTGCCGCGGTTTAAATGTGGGAGGCAGCTTCTCTCTCAATCGTTTTTGTGTGTACACTGAGTGTGTTGTGTGTATAGTGTGTGTACACTGAGTGTGTTGTGTGTATAGTGTGTGTACAGTGAGTGTGTTGTGTGCACACTGAGTGTGTGTTTGTGTGTACACTGAGTGTGTTGTGTGTATAGTGTGTGTACAGTGAGTGTGTTGTGTGTTTAGTGTGTGTACAGTGAGTGTGTTGTGTGTGTATAGTGTGTGTACAGTGTGAGTGTGTTGTGTGTACAGTGAGTGTGTTGTGTGTACAGTGAGTGTGTTGTGTGTACAGTGTGTGTACAGTGAGTGTGTTGTGTGTTTAGTGTGTGTACAGTGAGTGTGTTGTGTGTACAGTGAGTGTGTTGTGTGTTTAGTGTGTGTACAGTGAGTGTGTTGTGTGTACAGTGTGTGTACAGTGAGTGTGTTTGTGTGTAGTGAGTGTGTACAGTGAGTGTGTTGTGTGTATGTGTGAGTGTGTACAGTGAGTGTGTTGTGTGTTAGTGTGTGTACAGTGAGTGTGTTGTGTGTATAGTGAGTGAGTTGTGTGTACAGTGAGTGTGTTGTGTGTACAGTGAGTGTGTTGTGTGTTTGTGTGTGTACAGTGAGTGTTTGTGTGTATAGTGAGTGAGTTGTGTGTATAGTGAGTGTGTTGTGTGTTAGTGAGTGTGTTGTGTGTACAGTGAGTGTGTGTGAGTGTGTGTACAGTGAGTGTGTTGTGTGTATAGTGTGTGTACAGTGAGTGTGTTGTGTGTACAGTGAGTGTGTTGTGTGTACAGTGAGTGTGTTGTGTGTATAGTGAGTGAGTTGTGTGTACAGTGAGTGTGTTGTGTGTTTAGTGTGTGTACAGTGAGTGTGTTGTGTGTATAGTGAGTGTGTTGTGTGTACAGTGAGTGTGTTGTGTGTATAGTGAGTGTGTTGTGTGTATAGTGAGTGAGTTGTGTGTATAGTGTGTGTACAGTGAGTGAGTTGTGTGTACAGTGAGTGTGTTGTGTGTACAGTGAGTGTGTTGTGTGTTTAGTGTGTGTACAGTGAGTGTGTTGTGTGTTGTGTGTACAGTGAGTGAGTTGTGTGTACAGTGAGTGTGTTGTGTGTACAGTGAGTGTGTTGTGTGTACAGTGAGTGTGTTGTGTGTTTAGTGTGTGTACAGTGAGTGTGTTGTGTGTACAGTGAGTGTGTTGTGTGTGTACAGTGAGTGTGTTGTGTGTTTAGTGTGTGTACAGTGAGTGTGTTGTGTGTATAGTGTGTGTGTGTGTGTAGTGAGTGTGTTGTGTGTATAGTGAGTGTGTAGTGAGTGTGTTGTGTGTACAGTGAGTGTGTTGTGTGTACAGTGAGTGTGTGTGTGTATAGTGAGTGTGTTGTGTGTTAGTGTGTGTAGTGAGTGTGTTGTGTGTATAGTGAGTGTGTTGTGTGTATAGTGAGTGTGTTATGTGTATAGTGTGTGTACAGTGAGTGTGTTGTGTGTATAGTGTGTGTACAGTGAGTGTGTTGTGTGTATAGTGTGTGTACAGTGAGTGTGTGTTGTGTGTACAGTGAGTGTGTGTGTGTTGTGTGTACAGTGAGTGTGTTGTGTGTACAGTGAGTGTGTTGTGTGTATAGTGAGTGTGTGTTGTGTGTATAGTGAGTGTGTTGTGTGTACAGTGAGTGTGTTGTGTGTATAGTGAGTGTGTTGTGTGTTTAGTGTGTGTACAGTGAGTGTGTTGTGTGTGTGTACAGTGAGTGTGTTGTGTGTGTGTGTGTAGTGTGTGTACAGTGAGTGTGTTGTGTGTGTGTTTGTGTGTGTATAGTGAGTGTGTTGTGTGTACAGTGAGTGTGTTGTGTGTATAGTGAGTGTGTTGTGTGTTTAGTGTGTGTGTACAGTGAGTGTGTTGTGTGTATAGTGAGTGTGTTGTGTGTTTAGTGTGTGTGTACAGTGAGTGTGTTGTGTGTTTAGTGTGTGTACAGTGAGTGTGTTGTGTGTATAGTGAGTGTGTTGTGTGTACAGTGTGTGTACAGTGAGTGTGTTGTGTGTACAGTGAGTGTGTTGTGTGTATAGTGTGTGTACAGTGAGTGTGTTGTGTGTATAGTGTGTGTACAGTGAGTGTGTTGTGTGTACAGTGAGTGTGTGTGTGTGTGTACTGTGTGTAGTGAGTGAGTGTGTGTGTGTGAGTGTGTGTGTTAGTGTGTGTACAGTGAGTGTGTGTGTGTTCATTTCAGCACATGTATTTGAAGCATTAGGAGGTTTAAACTTTATTCTGAGATGTAATTATAGCATCGATAGGCTTCCAATGAAACTTTCTAACTTTCACAAACAGTTACTGTTATGTTGGTCTATAGTGTATAAGCACGACTTCTCACCACATGAGTAATACATCTGGAATAACAAGGATTAATGCTTTAAGCACAAAAAAAAAAAAAATAAATAAAATAAGGGGGTTGACCAGGGTATCGTCTTTGTACGCCAACTGTTTAACAACGAAGGCATCGCTTATTCTCATAGTGAATGGGTCCCAAAAGGAGGACAACCCTATACAGGAATATCTTGGGGCTGCCCGGGGCTCGAACCTGCGACCTCGGCATTGAGGCGAGGGCTGAAGCCAAAAATGTATTTGAAAGCCAAAAGTAGTGGACACTCAGGGTGATCAGGCCCGGGACGATGTGCAGGTCTGACCTCTGGTGAGAGCCCGAAACCGTACGGATCCGGCTCCATGCCACAGTGTGGCCACACTGCGACTCTCAAGTGTCAACTCTCACCAGTGTACACAACCCACCATATCTCTGTGTCCACGGAAAAGGAAAGAATCACGACGTCTATTTAAACCCCTGCTACTGTCCTTCTGATTGAGTCATGATGCTAACCAAAATATTCCTGAGAGACCATTTAGATGCTAGAGAGGCCTTCAACCTATTTTACTAAAAAAAAGGTGTTGGCGTTTCTGTTTTGGACTCTAAGCATAACTATTGTGCAATTTAGACAAGTTTTGGCCCTGTTAACACCGTGGTTGCTATAGGTAACAGTTATGGAATATTGGACTGAAGAATGTTTTACAACATGTAATACAACATGTCACATAGGACGCCACAGACCAAACCAAAACACTTTTAAAATGACGATAACATTGTAGTCCTCGTTGTTTGGGGACTAATAGGCCTATGCACGTTTAATGTTTTTTTTTTTCTTTTGAGTCATTAATGTAATTATTTACAGCGTAGTCGAGTATTCTGTACATATATTTAGGCCTAACAGTAGACTATAGCCTAAATGGAACTGTGCACATTTACTCACACGAGCATCACATGTCACCAAGGTCTCATCATTTAACCAACTTTGAAAGAGTCTAACACATGTGTCCAAACACAATCAAATCAAACATTTGCCTGTGCCACGGTAGAGCGCGCAAGGCTTTACCCACATAGATCCAAAACGAGCCATAGCCTTGCTCAGGCAGCATGTTTTATTTTTCCTTATTTATTTATTTATTTGTAATGAGACAGCACATATTAATGAACATTAAAAATGTAAATATGTAAAGATTATAGCAGTGTGGCTCATTTCCATCTTCAGTCCCTCGACAGGTTGATGTCAAATCATCTACAGGACAAAGAAAAGTACAGTAACAATCACACCAAAGTACACAACACCAACACACTCACTGTACACACAACACACTCACTGTACACACAACACACTCACTGACACACACAACACACTCACTGTACACACAACACACTCACTGTACACACAACACACTCACTGTACACACAACACACTCACTGTACACACAACACACTCACTGTACACACAACACACTCACTGTACACACAACACACTCACTGTACACACAACACACTCACTGTACACACAACACACTCACTGTACACACAACACACTCACTGTACACACAACACACTCACTATACACACAACACACTCACTGTACACACAACACACTCACTGTACACACAACACACTCACTATACACAGAATTAATTTCAAACAGTTCATTTGAGGTTCAAAGTCAAGAGTTTAAGAGTTAAACCAAGAGTTACACCAACAATCCCTCAATATAAAAGAAAATGTAATTTGGTTAAACCTGGTGACATATTTGGCCATTGAACATCACTGTTTTAAAGCTTTAGAAAATGCTGCCAGTGTTGAAAGTTCTCGTATATGAGCAGGCACTGTATTCCATGTCTGACCTGCTCGATAAACAAAAGAGAACTGTCCAAACGCACTTTTCCTAAACGGCACAGAGCAGTCGCCTCTAGAGCTGCTCTTGTTGTGTGATTTGAATTTCTTTTCACAAACTCCTCACTCTCTCCTCGGGGTCACACTGACCCGAAGAAAGATTTTTTTTTCATCCTTCCCATGCTCTTGGAGCGGGTCAATCAGACCCAAAAATGTATTTTCAAATATGTAAAAAATGTATTTTCAAATACATTTTTGCCAGGCGAGAAAATAAATGGGACAGTGGAGCAGCGCAGCCTTGTGGTGACAATTATAATCCGTGCAGCCACAGAGAACAAGCACAGCTGCAAAACAGGCGCCTTCTGCTGCGTCATGAATATGGACATTTGAAGAAAACTGTGACAGTTTACACAGGGGGCCACTCAGCAAAACTTGAATTTTCCTCGAGATCAATAAAGTATCTCACTCTCTCTTTCTTTCTCTAAACTGTCAATCTTGTGTGTTTTATAAGTCGCCTATTTGCCCAGTCCCCACATAATCCCACTATTTTTGTGTACCTGGACAAGACCCCCCACTTCACTGTCTACTTCAGTCACAAAGTCACGACAGCAAACTGCCAAAGAACAATAGAGCTGATTCACTGTGGCAAAGTAGAGAGAGATGAGTAACGGAGGGACAAGTTAGGAGGGGAAATCTCAAGTAAATGTGAATGGAACTCGTGTGTGTGTGTGTGTGTGTCTTGTAAAAGTTTCAGGGAGACCCCACGAAGCAGAGGGAGGGAGCCGTTCCATCATCTGCTCATTTGATAAACTGGCCTCTGTCTCTCCTCCTCCTTCAAACCATCAGCTGTCCAGGCATTCGTCCTCAGTGCAGGTCAACAGGTGAGGCCATTTGAACTCTTTCTGTGTTTGTCTTATTGTATTATGGATTTCTACCTGTGTCGTAGTGAGAGAAGGAGTGGTACATGATACAAGCCTCTGATGACTGTTTGTAAATGTTGGTAATTCTTATCATTTTTTTCAAATTCTAAATGTAAAAGCTTTGTTTGAGATCTGGGTTGAGATGATCACTCCATCTCTTTTTTATTTGTCTATAAACAGCATGACAACTAAAATATGCGAAAAACCTGGGACCCCAACGGTAAATTATAATTGATGTTTTTGTAAGAATTCAAGTGAGAAAGAAGCTCAAAACTAGTTATCCTGAATTATGAAGAAAGTATAATACATCGTTTGTTTTGTTAATGTTATTTATATATTTTTTATTATGTTCCTTCGCATCCTTCATCCTTGATAAGTTCATGGTCACACACGATTCAGACAACACCTTTCATGATATTTTGTCCAATAAGTGTTCTTTCCATCTTTTTATGATGTATTGTTAGTGTGTTTTTGAAAAGGTCTGAATTTAAAACGTAGCTTGAACCTGTTTCGTTTTCCCCTCTTCCGCTGAATGTAAACACAAAAAGACTATCTTGCTCAGAAAATGTTTAGATAATGCATATTTTGAGCCTTTAAAAGCCGCTTATCTGCTGAATAACATCTTAAAACAGAAACCCGCAAACAGAATCCCTAGAAATCCCTTAAAAGACCAGATGGTAAAGTGACGTATTCACCTTCAACTAAAGCGGACAACATTTCATTACAGTAGATTTGAGTTCCATTCATTCTCTAGTTCCAATTACCATTTGAATTGTGAGATTTGGACTAGCATGAATGTTAAATGATTGCATAGTTTGAAGTATTCGGAGCCTGACTTGGTTTGACGTCATATCAGCGCGTTTGACGTCTGCTAATATTGCTCATGTCCGGTCAGGAGCCTCACCCAAGAGGAGGAACTTACTCACTCTGAATAATTATCTCCTAATATTTCAACATTTTAAATGATGCTGAAATGAAGACTTCTGAATGTATACGTTTTAGTTTATAGTATTGTATCTGACTCATTTATGAGCGAGTTGTAGAGTAGTTTGCTTTACTTTACTTTATTGTATTATTTTTACTTTATTTGACTTTGACTATAGCGACCTTATTACAATCTGCAATATACAGTATTTATTTTGAACAGTCGTCTGCCTCTGCTGTTTTTAAATATCAGTTCGTACAGTGTTTATGTTAGTCTTATATTTTGTTATGAAAGTGCTGTGTATTCATTCCCTGAAAATGACAAAGTATTAATAAAATAAATAACTCCTTTACAGTGGTAATATATTGCATTATCTTTGTATTTTTTTCATTGTCAGTTTTGTTATTGTTCCCCTGGAATCCTGCTGTGAGAGCCCTGATTGGTGGATTACTACACCTGACCAATCCTGTCTCACCTCCTGCCTCCTCCCCCTTATTTAAGGAAATTGCCAGCACCTGTTCAGGACTGCTGCCATTTTGTGTTTGTCTAGTTCTGTAGTTTACTTCTGTTTTATGCCTTTCCTTTTTTTAAATTTGATCACTCCATTCTGTTTGTGGGCTTATGTGGTTTAATTTAGGAACTTTTTTTTTTTTAGTTTTGTGTGTGTCCTTTAGTTAACCACTCATCTTTCTGTAAGCCTACAGGACCCATTTTGTGGCACAAGACTGTGGAATTCTGTTGTTTTGTTTCTTAGTTTAGAGTATTTTCTGTATATTTTAGTCTGTTTTGTTAATTTACCTGTTACATCCCTGTTAAAGATTATTTAATTGATTCCATTTTCCATCTTGGTTATTTTTGTTACTTCCCTCACCCCAAACGAGCTGGGTCGTAACTTTCGGTGATTCAGTGATTCGTTTCAGTGTAAACGTAGCCTTAGAGCTAAGCACTACATATATCTTACAGTAATCACCTCTGTCTGAGAGTATGACATCATCACATTCTAGAATCCATTCTAGCTTTGGCCAGTTATCATTTCATTACTGTTTTATGGTGTAAAATGAAAGAAAGAAATGTCCCAATCTCACTCCTTTGTCCGCTTAAATGCTTAAACTGAACAGTAGTTGTATATCTGCTTTGTTTTAAAATATCCATTGTGCTAAGGTATTTGCTTTGATGATGTTACATATTACTTAGCACTGCTTTCCCTAATACAATTCAATCAAAGTCAAACTGCGTGGGCTTCCTACCATGACTCAAAACAAAGTCAACGCCACTCATGACCAGCAAATTCTCGCAAATTCTCACAAGGCTGCTATAAGTCCCTCCAGTCCTGACTTAAGCCTCTTGGCAAAAATTAAGGCAAATATTTTGGTGTCATTATTTAATAGAGTGATTGGTCTCCAGTTTTCTAAATTTAATTGATCCTTTTTGGGTTTAGGAATTAGTTTAAAAAGACCTTGTCTTAATGATGCTGGTAAATGTCCTTCCGCGATAGTTTCTTCAAAAACTTGGACAAGGAATGGAGCTAGAGCTTCTTTAAAGTGTTTATAGAATTGGCTGGTCAGCCCATCATTACCAGGAGACTTGTCATTCAGTGTTTCTATAGCGCTTATCACATCAGAGATATTCATTTTTTATCACATGACTTTTTAACATTTTCATCAATTGTATTCAGAT